TAAAAGGCCTTGGGGATGGGAGTATTTCATTGCGAGCGGATGTGGAGCTCGCTGGTGAGCAGAGCGGCAGTGTTTCCGTGGCCCCGCGCCGCAGCGCGCGGAGCTGCTCGCTCGGGCGCCTGCCACCTTACGGGAGCTGCAAGGCCGGCCCGGCGCAGCCGAGCGAGCGCCGCCAGAGCTGGGCAGGGCGAGAGGAGCGAGGAGCAGCGCCGGGCTTTGCCCGAGGCTCCGCGTGTGTGACCTGCCGCTGGCAAACAGCGGCACGCTGCAATAGGGAGCTGCTAAGAACAGAGAAAAAATCCCATATTTGCCTGGTGATATATTGCTTTAAATGTTGCGTATTTTAAAGCAAATGCCAGCCTCTATAGGAATGGCAGTTTGTAATTTTTCCTTGTTTGCTGATGGAGTGAAGGCGCTGGCCGGTGCCCGCGTCCCCGTGTCCCCTCGCTCTGTCATTGGCACATGCGGAGCGGCCGCCTGCCTGGTGCTGCTCCCAGGCCCTCCCTCGCCCGAGGCCGCGGTGCCCTCCGCACCAGCGGCGTCGCCGGTGGAGGCTCTGCTCCAGTGACAGGGATGGGGACACGTTCCGCTTTAATATCCGCTCCATCTTCCTTATCTATATGAGGAACGTCTGGCGCTCAGGCTGTCTGAGGGGAGCTGGAATTACGAAGCACCTTCCAGATTCCTTTATCTCTGGGAGCAGCATTAATGCTTTTAAGTAGCGAAGGGCGCTGGGTGGAGGATGGGGCATGGCTTGGCTTTGCTGCTCTGATCGCCAGGAAATCTGCCTTTTAATTTCATAGTGATGTTGGAAATGCCCTCCTCTGTGCTAAGAAAATATCCACTTTTTTTATTCTTTATGAAACAAAACCCGAAGATAGCCGGCTTGCTCACAAAAGCCTGCATATGAATATGCTAATGCTAATTTAAGCATTCACTTGCCAAGTTTTCATGCAAGGACATTTTGTATTGCACACATTTAATATTTGTACGCCCATTATCCATCATGCTTATCTGATATACTGGCACTGAGCTCATATTGTCCACAAAAATGACAGCAGAAGTCAAAACAGAGCTCTCCAAATTGAAACTATGGAGCTCTTTCTCCTTTATATTTCATGGGAAATTTGGGGGAAGCTACTTCCACACCCAAATGGCTTCTGAATTTTTGATTGATACTTCTAATCTAGATAACAAAGATTAGAGCAATTTCTGTGATGAAATGAGGCTGAAATGATGGTGTACATGAATAAATTCCTCTCTCCTTGTGACTCTGCTTGTTTTGAATGCAAATGGTGCAACTAGTCATAACCTCCGTGAATGGGAAGTGGTGATCAATGGAACACTTAAAAATATGTTTCTGAGTAATAAGATTGTGGCAATAGGAAAAATTTCATAACTTATCTTCTAGAACAACAGCAGTGGAGGGAAAATAAGTGAAAAGTGTAGCTACTTTATGAAATGGTGAAAATAAATAACATCTGATTTCTGCATTTACTAGATCCATCATTTCTAGCCTTTTCAGTAGGCCAGTGGCTTCCTTGCTGCTCGTTCTAAGAACAAAGACTTATTTCATAGCCTGTCCTTACCACTTACCTATGGATTCGCTGTAACGTATTGTACAGAGCAAACAGGCAGAGCGAATCCTGCTGGTAGCCTAGGGAGAGTTCCCGTGGTCTTATTAATGGATTGCAGTGGTGTAAACAAATGGAGATTGTCTGTGGTTCCTGTCTTTCCCTAAAGGAAAAGAGTAAACTTGGTTGAAGATGCAGCTGTGCTGTGAGGATACTGAATATTCTTTCCTGTAACCTTCTGTTTTGTGGCTTACTGAACCTTGCATCTTACTTGCATTTTTGAAACTCTTCCAGAACAGGACACATGGCGGGAAAGCAAAGCTTGTGTGAATGCTGAATAATTTCATTTGAAACAGGGAAGTTATTCTCTTGGAAAAACTAGTAGAAAAGATGTCAGTCTGATCCTGGAGATTTTTATCTTCAGGATGAAAATCTATTTTGTTCTTCATGATCATGATATGTAAACAATGCTCTCTCCAAGCTATCGCCAGCCAATATCTCATGCAGACTTCTATACATTTTCAGTGAAGAATGACCTCGTGTAGCTGGCTTCCTGCTCAGTACCTTTAGCAAGCAGGCTGTGAAAGCAGGTCCAGATTTCTTCTCACCCAACTGCCATGGACTCAGGGTGATGGTGTCTGTCATGTATCATTTCAGCTATTTTAGATTGAAACTATTTCACTGGAACTGATGATGTGGAGCCAGGGTAGCTGAAAGGGTAGTGAAATCAAAGGATGATTTAAAAGAGAATTCAGATTTTTTCCCTCAGATTGTCTGCAATGCTTGAGAAATCAGCTGAGGTCTCCCCGCGGCTCCTACTTTTCTGCTCGTCCTTGCATGTATATATTTATATTTTTAAACTGGAGCCTGCTTCCAGTCCACTATGTTCTCAAACATGAATGTCCTTAAATTCAGAGAAATTCCAGTCTCTGGTATGATCTCAATAGGCCTTCCATGTACCTCTGCTGTTAGCCCAACTAACCAAGGATGTTCTAGGCTTTCTCTCCATGCATCAGTCTTCCTTTCTCCTGGGGATACTGGGAAGTCCCACAGTGAGCCTTGTTGTTATGACCTATTTTTTCTACAAACTGAGAGATTTAATTTGTTCAGGTGCCAGGCAAAGGCAACATGAACTTGGAATTCTCCTGGCTTCTCTAACTGCCTGAGACTTGAAAAATCAATAGGGGAATTATCATGCTGTCTCTAGGCAGTAACTTAATAACTAGAACATAATTAAAAGGGTGACATGGGTTTATTTAGGACTACTGGGGATTTTTCTGTGGGCCCAGTCCAGAACCTGCTTGATCCTGAGCTAGACAGTAGAACTGGGACTGCTTCCTGTGGCAGGGAAAGCCTGGGCTTATGAAAAGTGCAGCTCTTACTGGTTTTATTCCAACACCCATTGAATAGCTCTTCAAAATTGTGCGTGTGTGTGTCTGTATATATATATGTATATTCCCAATCACTCTTCCAGCTACAATTGTGACATTTTATTAAGCTGACCTACTCTAATGAAGCTGACAGTAGTGTCACAACTTGACACTTCCCATGTGCATTGTGTGAAGTAGATTAAATGATAATCACAGGTCTAAAGAACAAGTGACTTCATAGAAAAGTAGATTACTGAATGCATTGGATGAGCATTAAATTAAATATTTAAAAATCTATTTTAATGTGAGTTGAGCAAAATTGAGGAAATGAACTGCCTTGAATGAAATGTTAAAATAAATCAGAAAACTGGCAAAGGTTGCTGCCGTGTGAGGAACTAGGCATTTTGCAAAAGTGCCTGCTGAGGAAAATCCAAGGTACTTTCCTTTAGAAAGTGTCCAGCTGAATTCTGCAAGAGCTTTCTGTTTTGGCTGATTGTGAGCAACCCAAGCACACAGTGCTGACGAGCTCTTACCTGGCTGGTGGCCCACCTAGCATGTTACAAGTCAATCCCCAAACTGCCTTTCACAAAATTTATGGAATTAATTCCTTAATAAGAACCCTTCAGCAAACACGCTCCCCCAGCCCCAGTTAATTCTATGAATATTCTAAATCTTACACGACTGGTAAGAGATCTGCTGCTTTCATGTAAGTGACAGCTTGAACAACCCCAGGTTACACACTGGTGGTGCTCAAGCAACCTAAAAGTTGCTTCCCTCTGTTTTGCCTCTGCTGCTGCACTTGCCCATCTCTGTTCAGATTAACCTGCTGACTAGGGTTTTCCATTAGCACTGCTAAGAACGTAACTATTTTTGTTTCCATTTCCTACTGCAAGCCTGAAGTGGAAAGTTTACGCGTGTATTCAGTATATTTTTGCTAACAGAAAAGAGAAGCAGGGTATCGGGAAACGAAAGAATTTCAATGTATCCTCTCCAGTGACGATGTTGCTAAACTTTTACACTGCAGAACTTTCCAGGACCCCCGTCTGGAGCCGCCTGGCTCGGGAGAGCTGGCAGGGGCAGCGCTCAGCCTGGGGGCTGCGCAGCACCCGTTACTGCTACGGGCACAGTCATAAACAGCGCTTTGCGCCGCACTGCTGCCCTTGCGGTGCATCAGGCCGGGCCCAGGGCCCTGTGCTGAGTGGCAGCTACCTGGTCCCGAGCTCGGACCGTCCTACCTGCCGCAGAGCGCGCGACTCCGACAGCGCCGCTCCCAACGCCGCTCACGTCTCGCACGGAAATGGGCCATTCCCCGGCTCCGCAGGACAGGCAGAGCAGACGGGCACAGGCTGGGAAAATACCAGCGTGCCTGTGTGATTCTCCCTGGCTGAGGGGTTGTGTGGTACATAACAAAACCGTAACAGAATATTGTTGGCTCTGCATCCACTGAGACCTTCAGTGATTTAGCAGTTTCATAATCTCAACCATAATTCATATTAGAGACTACAAAGATCCCCAAGCAGTAGTCAGATTTGATCTTCATAGCCAGGATTATTGCCATCCCACATTTTAAATTGTCTTTAATTCCTTGTTATCAACTGAATCTATACAACCCCAAATTTGGAATTTTAAATAATTGATTAAATTATATATATGTGTATATATATAAAATCTACATAACGCATAATGTTTTGGTAAAACTTATTTTTTAAGGTGTCCAGTTTGGAATTAAATGCAAGATAAATGGCTACAGTTCACATCAGGTAGAAACAAACCCCTCAGTGTTTAATGGAGTATGACTGGGAATATTTCAAGCACAGACCCCGCACAAACTCCCCTCATTTCCACAGTATATACCCAAAAGGAAAGTTCAGTTAGAGTTTCAAGGGAGAAAGCGCATATCCACACTACCCACTTCCCATGGGGTGTGACTTCTCCACCAGCATAAAGTTAGAAATTTAAAGAGAATGACAAGAACAGCTTGAGTATCCAGTAAAAATGAGTTTTAAGCATTTGGCTTTATTATTGCTCTTCTGAGTACCAAGATAAACATGCAATATTTTAATATGTGCATTATGCTGTGCTTAAGCAGAAACTGATACAGCTACAACTGAAAATTTTAATTTGGCAACATTTCAGTCATGACAGTTACACATTATGAAAATTATTCAGTGGTATGTTTGATATTAAATATCAGCAAAGAATATTAGTTTAAAAAGCAGAGCTACATCACTGTCTCTAAAAATATTGCTGTTGTAGAACTATTCACATGGATTCTGAATAACAATCAGGAGATACTCCTTATCTGCAAGATATAAGAAGTTTTAGTTAAAACATTTTAACTGTTTTCTTGATATTCTTATCTATTCCTCTCTAATCAAAATTTATTAAAACAATTATATTAATAAACTTGATATTTTTACAAAAATCTGAAATTTCAGATGAAAAACCACAGCAATCATTAACATATACAATACTAGCTATTTTACTAAGCAGCAAATTTGTTTTCAAATATCTGCGAAGATACTTAAATAAACAAGTAGAACGGGAAGTCCCGAGACGAGCATCTGGACATTTGCACTTGTTAAAACAATGACCTTCACACAGCTGCAGCCTCTGCTGCAGGTGCAGAGAACTTTCAGTTCACTCCCTACCTTATCCAAAACTGAAAGGCCCATATAGGGTTGAAAATAGCAGGAAAGACTTGAATAAGACCTTTACTAAATTCTAAGCATTCAGGAACTCACCTACTATTTCTTAAAACTTGAGGAACAGTTTTGGAAACAATTATGTTATATGGATACTTAATAGTAACTGTTTTAAAAGAAAGATTTCTTTAAAGTATCCAAGGAACTTAGGGATACATGTGCTTTAAAAAGTTACGCTGCTGTCCTCTGCTTCTTTGAACTTCCATCCAACAGAAAGGTAGTATAAATCACAGGATAAAAATTCTTTTGCTACTTTTTGTTATTGTAAGAGACAGTCAAGCCTCTGGGTAACTAATCTCTCTGTTAGCAAAAAAGCATCACATTCAACACCATTTACTTGAAGGTCAACACGCTTCAGTGGTTACTAGTCAGAGACAGTCAGCCTCTCTCTAAACAATAACTGAAGGGCAAATGCAAAATAAGTGCATCAGTTTAAATCAATGAGCAAGACACCTTCCCTAAAACACCTGCTGTATTTATACTCCAAGATACTTAGCTGTCTTAATTATTTATCTTTTATCTTTTTTGTATTTTTTTATCTTATTTTACCCGTATGGGCTTTATACAAGCATTCTAAGCACTAGCAGTGAGGTGGGGCGTGCACGTGCAGCGTGCTGCCTGCTTCCCGTCTGCTTCCGAGCTCAGCGCCAGAGGACAGGCTCAGCGAAGGGCATCGCCTCGCGGTGCCCGCGGCGGCAGCGGGTTCAGCACCAGCCGGCTGCTCGTGCCAGCACCGCCCTGTCCCCGGGGCTCTTTGCTCCGCACACCCACACCTGATTTTTCTCAAATTCTCCAATACTTTTCCCCTTTTGTAGCTAGGTCTTGCATCAGAATCTCAGCCCCATCTAATCTTTTCCACTTTGCCCGATGGCCCTTGTATTATTTATTCCTTGAGCACAGATTATCTGGCATTGTTATCTATTTTAGTTAAGAGAAAGAACAAGTCTTATGCATTTGTATGTTTAGTGAAACAGGCTGCTATATTCTGCAGCTTGTTTTAAGGAGAAATATATCACAGTCACCATGTTGCTGATAATATTCCGTATTGATCTGTAACACATTCCACCTATGGCTAGAAGCCACGGTATCAGTATCAGATACAGTATCAGATGAAAAACAGTTTTTAGAAACAAAAACTATCTCATGCAGCTGTTCAGAGCTAAAATTGATGGCTGCCTTTAAAATTATACATTATATTTGAGACTTACACTTTTGTCCAGTTTTCTGTTGGTTGAAAAAGGCCCAGAAACCAAAGCATTAATCAGATCTGCACTTGTTTTGTTGCTTCTAAACTTGCATTTATTACATTAAGATGCTACCATCTGCATACATAATGAACAATATAGATATACTCATGCTCAGAAAGGATCTATAAGATGCCTTCTTATGGCTTTATTTTAAAATACTATTTTTTAAACGCATTTTCTAATGCCAACTTTGCTTAGAAAAATTGAAAGAAATTTCAAGTCCATTCAGTGTTATGGTTATTTAATAGAAATATTACCTGGAGCTACCATGATTTCATGTTTCTTTGATCTGATCCTAAGAAAGGTTAGATCATTCTGAGGATCAATATCTCTCACCGTGCTCCTGGCCTTCATGGTGAGCTGATGAAGCAGCCCGGCGTATTGCACTGTTGTGGAGTTATCAAGAGTTGTTCTGATTGGGATTCCTGCAAATAAATAATAGTCCAACTCATAAATCACTCAAACTGTATATTATTCATATACAGCAAGTCATAAAAAAAAAGACATTAAGTTAAACATTAAGTTGCCTTATGCGATTTTTGAAAGAGCTTAACTGCTGCTATGCATTTGGCAAGTAAACCACTCGTGGGAGAATCTCTTACAGTCAGGATGCAAAATATTGACAACTGGTAGCATCAGTCCAAACCATTAACATATAACCACCTAAATTAAGATTCATTTTTGATAATTCAATGAATCAGTGTTTTAAAGTGATTTGTCAAATCATGCTTTTGATATTGGTGAGCTACCAGGTAGAAGTGAGCATGAGGGTCACAGTAATCACTCAGGTGCAAAATTGTTTAGCTTTCATAAGCTTGTTTCATCTGCTAAAAAATTTCCTGTAACCTACTAATAAATATATTAAAAGTTGGCAAGGCAATATTCTCATTATACAGATATACATTTATACTTCTTCCAGATGAACGGGAATATAAAAAAGAATAAGATGACTTAACAAGTTGAAGAGCTTGATTTATGAAAGAATTAACATGCAAAAATACTAAAGAACTGGAGGCAAGAGAATAAAAGAAATTACAGAACTACATTAGATTTAGGCTCTTCTATAATTCCTCTAGGACAGTATTATTTGAATCACTCAAAATCAACGTGAGCCTGAGAACTTGCATTGGCATAAGAGGATGTCCCAGTATGTACTTTTTGTGTCTAAAGTTTATTACATAGATGAAACTGAGGATTTAAAGGAAACAAACAGGTGTTCCCAAGCACTACATTAGCACAAAAATGTCTGTATGTTAATCACAACATTAAAATAGTAAATCACTTAAAAGCAGCAATGAAGCCAAGTCAAGTTTACGTGACCTTTTGTCTAACTGATTACCTCAGCAAATGCAGCACATTTAGTGAAATAGGTCACCCTCTAGGGTCCAATAAGAATCCAAAAACATGTTGACACAAGTGACATCCTTAGATAAAAATGAGCTATTCTTCCTTTAGGACAAGTTTATTTTGTAGAATCTAAACTTCTTTGTACTTTGCATACATCCTCCCATAGTATGGTTGGCTGTATTCACATCTGGCATTTGGGACTGTAATATTTTCAAAAGAGAAATTAAACCCCAAGTGCCTTCACTCCCTTTCCAGTCAGTTTCAGTGTGGCCACTGCAGGTTTGTAAGGAAGCAGAAGTTTGAACAGGAGATAACTTTTTGCCTTGCTGTGAATAGTCTGATGTGCAGGAAAAGGAGTGTACTACCTCCTTTGTGCAAGAAAGTAAGAAGGAATCCATAACATAACCTTTTTCATTAAAACAAAAACAAAAATGTGCTATTATGAGGAAAAACTCTGCAGATATACATGTGAACCTTCTCTCTATAGACTGTAGAAATGTTGGAGGTAAAGACATGAGCACATGTGAATGGGAAAGAGTATTTGACCAGTATCGCACCAGAAGCCAAAGCTCTGAGATGCTCTGAGAAATAGAGCACAAGAAAATGTCATTATTTGCCTATTAATTATTTTAGTGTTTTTGACACATTTTAGAAGAAATGTATTGGTTCTGCAAACTCAACAAGGATTGTGTTTTCTGAATAGTTGGCTTTGTTCAGTTTTACTCTGCAAATTAACCAGTCTATAAATGCTCATTGGATGAAGTCCAATTCCATTGATTTAAACAGAACACAGAAACAGCTAAAAACAATAGTTGTTCTAAAACCAAACTGCTTTTCAGATTAGTAAACAGCCATACATAGAAATGAGGATGTGCAGACACAAAGCAGGTTTTCATTTACTGCTTATCAGGCTACGCATTTCCCCTGACCTGCACCATCTACTCTGTTAGCGGAGACATGTTTTATTTAACATGTCCAGGCATGCAAATCTAATTGTCTAGATTTTCCAAAGACTAAAAAAGCCACTTGGGCTTCTTTCTTGGTGTCCTTTTTGGCTGCTGCTGGAGTGCTACCAGGAGAATAGCTGCCTTTGCTTGTAAAAGTGAAGGAGAACAACGAAATTTTAACATAGGTGAGGTATGGTGGAGTTGTTGAATTACCTTACTTGCAATGGAGTGGTTTAAACAACATTAAGTTTAGAAATTCAGCTTCTCAAAGCCGACCTCTGTGACCAGCCCCACACCGGGCTCGTGATCTCCATGGCCTGCTTGCAGCCTTGGACACGAAACAAAACGGGCTCTGCAAGGCCCTGTGTCAGCTCATGGCGGCACCAGGGCCGGTGTAGCAGAGCCCGGCCGCTGCGGCACAGGGGAAGGCCTTGGGCGTTGGGAAGGGCTTTCTCCTCCCTTACCCCTCCCGACTTTTCAGAGGCGCAGGGCGCAGTGCGTGCGAGCTTTCCTGCGCACACCAAGGACTGGGGACCAACAAAGTGCGAAGCAGCAGCGCAGCGTCACGCACTGCTCTGCTTCAGCGACCTACTGGGTGGCGTTTGGGATCTGCTCTGAAAAATGGAGTTCAACTTCATTATATCAGGGGAATAAGTGACAGCACGTTGTAAGAGCATGAGCGAGGGGACAGCGACGATCCCCGCCCGGCCTTCTTCAGAGCGGGGGCATCCAGGCTCCCGAGGCCTCGCCGCCCGTTACCTTCGGCGTTCACCACGATGGTGCCCACAACGCCCTTGTGCGCGTGGATCCTCTTGAGGGTCTCCTCCACCTCGGCCTGCGGGGAGAGACGGTACCGCGTCAGCCCCGAACCCGGCCCCGCTCCCGGTCCCCGCCGCGCGGGGCGCCATTACCATGGCCGCGTCCTTGTCTCGCGGTGGCCGTTGCCAGGGCGCGGAGCGGAAGTGACGCACGGCGTGGGCGTTGCTAGGGCGCGGCGGGGGCCGCCTCGTGTCGCGGAGCCGCGCGCTGTGAGGGCGGTGCCGCCATGGCGGCGGGGGAGGCGGCCGGGGAGCCGCGGGGAGCCCGAGCCCCAGCGCCGCCGGGCAGCGGGGTCCGCCCGCGCCGGAGACCGTGGCCGAGCCCCGCTGGTGCGCGTGCAGCTGGCCGGGCTGTCCCATCGCTTCCCCTGTCCACAGGGACGTGGCTCCCTGAGGAGCCTTTCCTGGGAGTCTAACGGAACATAATGACTGCGGGTGGCAGAGGAGTCCCCCTGTGCCCTGCCAGGTGCGGAGACTTAGCCTGGCTCCGTCTCCTTCACTGAGCAGGAGACCTCCTGAGTCCACGATATTAGAGGTGCTTTTAGCTGCTGTGCTCCAATAGTGCATTTTTAAAATGTGCTGTTATATGGAAATACCGCCCCCCTAAAAAAAAAAAAAAAAAAAAAAAAAAAAAGACCTTAAGAATATGTTACCAGATTCGATGTTGACCTGCAGCGCTCTGAGGCCTTGGTTTGTCTCTAAATCGTAGCAATGCACCAGCACCCTGACAGGGACCAACGTAAATCAGAGGGCTGAAAGCGCCGCCTGTGCAGGCGGGTGTAAACCGGCCTCCAAGTGCCTTTGTGAGAAGGGGTACTGTAGGGGAGTGCGCCCAGTCCTTGTTGTGCAGCGCGGACACAGAGCCTGGCGCAGGCCCCGCTCCGAGGGAGACCCGGCGCGCGCCGGGAGCGGCAACGCCGCCGGACGGGCCCGTCCGTGCTCGGCTCCGCAGCGCTGGCGGCCCCGCGACGGGCGCTGGCGGCCCCTTTGCTGCTCATCCTGAAGCACTGGAGGCGCCAACGCGTGGTTATTCAGCCTGGCTGCAGCGTCTGCTCTGCAGCCTTGGCCCAGTGCAACCATGTTCTAAAGTGAAAACTTATGGCGTGTACAATGCGAAGCTGGTCTTGCTCGCTGCATTGGTCAGAGGAATGATCTTTGCTATTACAATCCACCTAAAGTCAACACACTGTAGGGAGGTGTAGTGTAAGTGAGGGTAATAATCCTGGCCATAGTAACCGGACAGGGAGTTTGAAGGATTTAGGAATATACGGAGAAGTTTTCTCCCAGTTATTTCACCATGTTGCTCTTCATTTTCAGTGCTTCCTTCAAGACCCCTGTGTTTCTTCACAGATGCAAGATGCCCGACTCTTCAAAATCAATAAAAAGTCAGATAAAATTTTGCAGAAAATACTGAACTGGAGCCGAATTATAGCTAGCTTGGTCCAGGATTGCTTTTGGAAGCATTATTTATGCTCGGCATGAAAGACTGAAACACAGCCTTAGGGAGGCACTCACATAGGCTTAGTCTCAGGCTTTAGATATGTAAGAATAAATGAAAATATTTTCTTAGTAGCTTTTGAAATTTAAGTGAGAACAGATTCAAAGCAACATAATTACAGCTTTGACAAACAGCATTGAATACCATATTAGGAACTGGATGATATTGCTTGAGAGGCAGCAGCTCTTTACAACTTAGGATTGAAATTGTGCAAAAGCTTCTGTGTGTGAATATGTCTGAATGTTTGCTGTTAATATAGCACATGAGAATTTAAGCTTCAGGTGTTTGGAATTGTAGCCTTGTGTTTGAACTCCTACAGTATATGCACTTGCAAATAAGACTGAGAAGATAATTATCGGAAGATGAAAAATATTAAAGGTTCTTCACACATCTTTTCCTCAGGCTGTGGCAGACAACTTCCTGTGTGGAGAACTAGGAAGAGGATTTTGCTGCTGAGTGTGAGAAGTTGGATCCTTCACTGCTGGTAGAACCTGAAGACTCAGGAAGAGGTAGGAACGTGTCACATTCTTTCGCCACGGTGGAACTTGAAGCGCTCCAAGGAGCCTTGTTGCTGCCAGCCCTTACAGGATGGTTGGAAACAATTCAGTGCAGGAGGAACTTCACTTTTTTCACTCGCTAATCAGTCTTGAGGGAAACTTGGTAGAAGCAGTTGACAGGTAGGTTGCAAGGTGGAAGTCCATTCTTAGCACACAGCTATTATAAGTACCTAAAAAAAGGCTATTGTGGTTACTTGCATCTTACATAATTTTGGTGTGATATTCAGAGAAAGAAACCTAAATTGGGTTCAAGAAGCTTGAATTTCTGATACAGATGTGTGACCAAAAAATGATAGTGATCAAGTTGCACTTTGACCACCAACTAGGAGCTACTGTTTGAACTTACTGCTTGAAAACTTAGTAGGGCAATTACATAGCGAATATTCTAAATTAATTATTTATCCTACAGTCTTTGAAGAGCCAGCCCAGAACTTTCTAGAAATACTAAAAAAATTGGATTTTGCTACTCCAAGATGTTACTCGTTGGTATCTTGAGCAGGCTTTGAATTTTTTTAACCAGCTGAACAAAATTCACAGATAACTGACACAGAGGTATTTGAATTTCACGGTTTTGCAGTGGACAACTTGCAGCAGCTGAAACTCATCAATTAAATGATAAGTTGCAAAGTGTTTGCTCAGGTGTGGGTGGTTGGCTGATTGCAGTTATTATCACTGTGGGTAAAGGAGAGCTCATGCTCTGCACCTGAAGGTATTGTGCTTTCTTTTGTGCTTTCTTGCACTTTAAAAGTGCTTCTGTGTAAAACTCTGCAAAGAAGAATTGAGGATTTAATTCTTCAGAAGAAATTTCAGTGAACTGTTGCTGTATTAGGTAATGATACCATATCCTTTAGGGGTTTTATGGCCTCAGTGTGAATATAAGCATCAGTGGAAACCTAGGATAGTGTTTAAATTCATGTTAAGGCTGAAATTAGGATAGAATTAACTGATAAGCTTATGTTAATTGGGTGAGAAGGCAGAGTGCTCTGGTAAAGCAGGTGCTTAAAAATAAAAGAAAGATTGTATAAGAATTACTGGCATGTATAAGCAGGTAATGATTCACTGTTCAGAATATAAAATGAACTATCTTTCAGGCTGCATTCTTTCACTTTTGAAGTTTTATTTTGATATAAATATCATGCTCTGAATGACCTAAGCAGTAGGTCTTATGACCAAAAATGCATCATAATGGAAGAAAATAACTGCTTTTCATTCTGAAGTCCTAAGTGCTTCTTATGTCTTTCCTATCATTCAGGAAACTGCTCTTGAAAACATCAATTCTCCTTTTTTTCCAAAGCCTCTGTGCACCGTGTGTCCTGTCGGGTGTGTGTGCAGTCCCCTGCTAGAACATGCCTGGCACAGCGGTGCTAAACGCAGCTTGGCGGTGCCCATGCCAGTTTTCCTCTTCAGCTTCCTCTGTGTGGTGTTGGGTGCTGGTTCTCTGGAGCAGATGCAGTGAAGTTAATGAGTTCTTAGAGATGCTCTTCCACTGGGGAAGAATGAGAATGGGGGAGATGTAAACAGCCTTGACTTGGATGGTTAGTTCTGCGCCGTTATATTTCTCCTAGTAGAGATTCTGGCATTCTTGAGCAATGGTGCTTGGCACTTGCTTTGTTCACAGGTAAGAAAAACTGGTGTTTTCGTGAAGTGTCAGTGAATGCTGTAGTGCACTGGAGAGTAGCAGAAATAGATGACCTGGATAAAGGTACACAGTTTATTAAAAGGGACAGCATGATGGAAACTTGGTTCTGTTTTCATTAAGGTATCTCCTTAAAGGTGAAAAAACAAGGAAGATGTAGTAAAGCTGGACTTGTATCTAGTCATCCCAGCACAGCTAGGACCAGATCTGCAAGGCAAGGCCATGATATCCACCCTTGGGAGGCCTGTAGGAGGTGTGTGAAACAGTGGACTTGGATAAAGATCCCCCCCCGCCCCCTGCCTTAATCTCACTACCTGTTGGTGAAGATTTTTCTTCTGCTAACTCAGTGAATCTAAATATTATAAACTGTGAAAGTATTTAAGCAAAGCTGTCTTGCAGGCATGTATGAAGCAATTTGAAGAAGCTATTTGAAATATTTGAGGAAGTTAGATGCTAGAATAAGTTAGCTAGGAATGGTAACGCAGAGCATCCAAACACTTTTCTTCTGTAACTCTTAAGCAGTTTTTCGTACTTTTCCACTGGGTTGTATGAAGGCTTTCTAGCAAAAATCCTCTAGATGGTGCTACAGCTATATGATTGAACCAAGCAAGAGTTGAAGAAATTGCTTTGCTTGTTAAAATGCCAATTCACTTTAGTCATGTATTGTACAAAAAAAAAAAAAAAAAAAAACCCTCAGCTATAATATTATTTACAAGTTTATGCAAGGTGGAATCAACATATGTGGATTACATACCCTCAGCTAGCTCTAAAAGGGTAAAATAGCATTTTTTTGGTAGATACAGAAGTCTTGCAGGAACTGTTTTATGGTGAAATTCTCCCCTCATCTCTTGAGACCTTCATAAAGCCCCTTCTCAGAGTGTGCACACCTTGAGTGCTGATGAGGGCAGGGGTGACCAACTGTAGCCGGTGCTGCTGATTAAGGGATGGCAATAAGGCTCTCAAGACTCCCAGCAGATGTTGCTGCTTTTGTATGCTAATGAGAACTTTACGAACCGTTTTCTCTTCCTTCTGAGAGCAGATGTAAGTACATGGAAATTGCTTCCTTATATCAAGAGCAAATTGATAATAACCTTGGTTCAGTTGTAAGGCAGGAATTGTAGAGGCACTTTATTTGATAATTGCAATAAGCTTATGCCGGGCTTCATCAAAATTAGTATTTGATATTTTGCTAACTTTTCTTCTGTTGGAGCAGTGAAGCAAAATCTCCATGGCGAGCACACTCCTACCTGGGTTTCTAAACTATTCAGGTGGAGGTTTTCAGACTGGGCTGCTAATTTGCCCTGCTAAGCTTCCTTCCTCGCCCCTCTCCTCTTTAGCATGCCCTGCTAGTCTGATAATTTCAATGGATAAAGTTTAGTCAGAACAGTCGTATCTGCTCAGCAGTGCTGCTGAGCATGGCAGTTCCTGGTATCTTGTGTGGCCTGCTGTGAATGCCTAGTAAAAAGAACCCTATCTCAGGTAGGGGTTTGCTGAGCTATATGTCTAATATTCCACAGTCCTGTCTTGTTAAGGAGTGCCTGCTTGAAACAGTAAGAGTTCAGAGGAGAGTTGACTCTTTTTTGCATTTTTAGATTCTTTGTGAGGCTTGGAGGTGCGTGTGTGGGGGGGAACCAAAAAAAACAAACAAACAAAACAAAAAAAAAAAAAACAGTGTTTTTTCCCAAGAGTAACTTAAGATACTTTTGTATTTTTGTCCTGTGAGGTAGAATACTGATATATTCCTCACTTGAAGTTATTGAAATGGCTATCATGGAGTAAAGTGAGTCCACAGGCCAAACTTCATTTTAGGTAGCAGCAGTTATCCCAAGTGTAGCTCCAGTGTCTGTTAGATATTGTGATAGTGATTCTGCACTGAATAATAGCAGCACCTAAAGTTCAGTACTTTTATTTCCTGTATTAAACGTGTGTAGTGATTTTTCACTCTCTTTAAAATATAGTTCTGCTTCATCTGGAGGATGAGTGAATAACCATAGCTTTTATCAAGTTTACATGTCTGTTTTTTATATTGCTGAGGCACTTCAACTTGGCAGTTGTGTTAAGGTATGATCACAGGCATCTGTGACCTATTCTGGGTAGTAGGTGCACAGGCAAACATTCAAGAGTTAAACAAAGATAACCAGAGACTAGTCTTACAGGGCTATTGCACAGTGGCTTTGACATATGTTAGTTAAAGATGGTGTTGGGGGCCTTAAACAAGCACCACCTCCTTCCTGCTCTGGTAGTTACTAGCGAGAGACAGCAGCAGGCTGAAGAGTATTGGTTACCATGATAACCTCATGTTATTTCTGCTCACTTGGGACTGGAGAATAAGCACAAAGCACCTAAAAGCCAGATTTTGTCAACCTTAGTCCAAAAACACCACAGCAAGTGTACGCACGCTGTAATTTTTCACGAGAGCTCTCTGTCGCTCACATTCCTCTCTCATTTATTAGGGAGATCTTGGAGTGATTTTGCTATTAGGGTCTTGTCCTGAAGGCTTTTTAAAGATTTTTTACTAAAGAAAGTGTGCAAAGCTAATTGTGAGAGTTAGGGGAACTATAGCTCATTGAAGAGTGATGAGAAAAATAATTTGTGTAGAGATTCTATTGGATTCTATTTAGAATTTTAGTGATTTTTTTTTGGAAGAAAAAATAGATTAGATTTTAAAGAGAAACAATTGTGTTAATTAAGTTGCTCAAATGTTTGAAAAACAGTTATGTTCGTGGATGGTGCCACCTGCCACTTGTGCATAGCAGGAGAGGGCAGCTACCCGCGACTGCTGGACTGGGTTATCTGAAAGCTGCCATGAAGGGGGCTCATGGCAGAGACCCTCCGCTCCTGGGATTCGAGTGTGCTGCAGAGCTCAAGTTGTTACAGACTTTGTGTCCAGTATGAAAACTGCCTGATTTTTTTTTTTTTTTTTGTAGTTGTAAATCATAGATTAGCACAGCTGGAGTCTCTTTCTTTTGACACTGGAGTTAGTTTGGTATTGTTTTAATCCATCTCTGTATACATTCTGGGCCTGTGTAGCTGTCCTCAAAACCAGAAATAAATCCAGGAGTAAACCACAAAGCTTTTAGAGGTGATATGTGGCTGGTGTAGAAGTTCTTGGAAGCAGTAAGGATTTACACTAGATTGAGCTGTTTTATTGCAACCTTACCAGTCACATTCTTCCTGCATATATCACTGTAACTTAGTGAAGCTTGAAATGCTTCGGTCACCTTCTTTAGCTGCATGTCACTTCACTGGCAGAATGTGTTATTCAGTTCAATCATTCTTCAGCTAGAAAGTGGAGAGGGAGAAAAAAATAAAACTACCTGAATGGTGTTGCTAAATGTACACTGGTGTCAGAGCAGCATCGCTGTGATAAACTTGTGTGGTGCGTGTGGAACTGGAAGCTCTCAAATAAATGTAAATGGCTCTGACAGGGCTAGAATGGAGCCAGGTAGGCTGTATGCCATCGTTCATGTGCTGGAAACTTTGCTATGTGGCTCTTACATAAACATGTGGATAGCTGTTGGCACGTGGTTTCCAAGTAGCCAACGTGTAAACAGGGTTTTTGTGAGCGCTCCTGCATTGCGAGTGGGTTGTGCCTCGTGGGTTCCCGTGTTCTTTCCAGCGGGCTCTTGGGTGCCCAGTGCTGCGTGGCCCACGCTCCAGGCACGGCTCTGTGGGGCTCTGCAGCCTGTCCTCTCCACCTGTGAACATCTTACTCCACTCTGGGCAACCTTAATGTGGCTCGTGCACTGCAAGCTTCACAGCTGCTTTCTCAGTAGGCTAGAAGGAGGGGGATTTGCTTTGGTTCATTTGGGACCATCTCATCTTTAGAAACTGGCCTTTCAAGGGGTGCTAATTATCCAAGAGCTTGAGCAGGTTGCAGGATAATATATTGCAGTAGCACCCTTGGGCAGGGGAACTTGCTCATAGAGCAGGAAACTGCAGCACCCAAAGGTGTTTTCCATCCTTGCAGCCTGACATCCTTTCTGGATATTCTGCAATATCCAAGTTCAGTTCTGCCATATTTGAGGCAAGTCTCCAATCCACTAAATGATTCTTCTAAATCTGTATTACACCCTATTTAAGGCAGCTCTTTTTTCCTCATCTTGTGTTGTCAGACCCAATAAATATTTAAGTATTTAAAAAAATCCTTATCTCATCTGCTGAAACTACATATGAATGAAAATTGGCAATTC